AACAAACTGCATACAATTTATTTAAAAATAAATTATGTCATAACTTTTAATTTGTCCCACAAAAATTATTTTTTGTAGAATTTTTAATTCATTTTTGAATTCAGAACCATTTTTAAGTATAAAATTTAAAAAAAAAACAGTAACGGTCAAAATGACCGCTTTGGGCGTTCTAGGTCATGAAAATTTCCGGGCGTTCTAGTGTTAAACTAATTGAGAAGGTAAAGAAGTATTTCATTTGGCTATTGATAACACTTTCTAATATATTTTAAAAGAAGATTCACCATTTTTTCTCTTTTTCGGTCTAAAAATCTAGTTAGATCATGAACACTTAGTTAATGACACTAATACCCAGAGGGTATATGGTGAAAAACACAAAAATAAGGTTATGATTGGATTATGAACAGATGAAACCATCGATAGTATTATTTATTCAATTTTAATGATGTTTCGTTAAACAATTATATGGTGAACGATAATTAAAGAGTTGTTGCTTAACAAAAAATGAAGAGTTGAATATAACAGCAACAATAACAAATAAAATGACTAGATTAGATTGCAAACAGTTTTCTTTTTAATAAGTTATGTTTACAGAAAATATAGTTTTAGATATAATAAAAAATTTTTATAAATTCTTTTCTTTCTTTCTTCAACTAGTAACGCTTAGTAATAATGAATTATGTTGAGTTTTCTGTTCAATCAGTTCTTTGGCACGTTCAACGTATTTGTTTAAAAGTTCATGGTTTAGTTGAACTGGGTTATTACTTATTAATATATCCATTTTTCCCATTTCTTTTGAAACCAAAAGCCATGTTTGTAAATTAATATTTAAATTTATTTGCCATGGTAAATCGTTAATGAGTAATGCTTGTTCAAAAGCACTCATTCTTAATACTTTACCAAGAACATCAAACTAAAAGAAGAAAAATGATACAATGTGAACAAAATATTAGAGATTGAATATCTTACAGTGGGTTGGACAATATGAGAAATGAAACCAATTTGTACGGCGGCAAAATCTGTTGTATCACGACAAAATGTTGGCTTTTCTTCAAGTAATTGCGTTCGTTCAAGATCACCTTGAACGAAAAACTCTTCCATAATTTTTTCTGATGATTTGATATAAATTGGCCATGGTTTGGCTAAAATAGAGTAAAAATCCAAATAAAACCTATTTAGTAAATCTAACCAAACTGATGTTTGTCAGATCTATCTTATTATTAAGAATTGATAACTCGCCGATCGAGCTGTATTTAAAGATCTTACCAGCGTTCGAGATATCAGCAGCATGCAAGATCATGTGTAGAAGAGTTTTTGTATCTCCCTCATTGACACATATTTGTTTTGATTCTTGGAAGAAGAAATATGTAGATAATCTTTCGATTAATGAAGCGTGGTTGGCCATATCTAAACGAAATAATTGCAACTAGTATCGGCTATTGTTTGATCAACACAAAAGCAGACAGATTTAGTAGCGATAGTTTAAAGTTCTATTTTTTTCACATATTTACTGTTAGGAATGCGTTCGTTCGAAAAATGACTAAAAGGTGATGTATCTTTTTTCCATTTAAAAGAGTTTTATTTACGCTTTCTCTTTCGAAACGGAATAATCTAATTTAACGGTTGAAGAACTAATAAGAAGCGGTTAGGTTAAGTAACCTTGATTTAAAAAAAAGTAGGGCAGGTAGAGTATGAGATTTTCCTTCCCTAACATATTGAATTTTTTTCGACCTATCAGCGCGCTGTTCAAATTATAGATAGCACACCCTAGCGTGCCTTAGTCAACAATACCGAAGAAAATCCTGTGGAGATTCGTCTCGCGAGTTTCATCAGAGTTTTCAACTTTCAAAAGCCTTTTTTGGTTATTTTTCATTTTTAAGTTAGTATTTAGATATTCCATCTGTTTGTTCAAATAAAAGATGAGGTTAGGTAATTAACGGTTCCGAAGACTCTCAATAAAGAACTTATCAGAACATATGCGACCCGATACCCGTTCTGATCATTACGGTTGGAACGAGTACCTATTTTCATCGAAATGGAAAATAGTACGACTCTATTTTAGACTATGCGAAGCCGATCTTTCGAGGATGGCTCACTTACGTGACGAAAAACTTTGAAAATTTGACGTCAAAATCAGTGATTCTTACACACTATGTATCTCAGCAAAACAAAAAGGTAAATGCGTAGTTGCAATGGGAGTCGCGAAGGGTTTTTAAAAAAATTGAGAGTTATTACGTAAACGTAACTCTTGGGATATTTTATCGGGAGGCTCGTCAAAATCTCTCGGAACTCCTGACAAAACGAGAAACCCGCAGGTTGTTTCGCATGACTTTTAGGAGATTTACCGAGACAAATTAGAGTAAAGTAGTCTTCGACATCGTTTTTTCTTTAATGACAATAAAAAAATTTTCTCAAACTTATACAGAACTCTGTGGATTATAGTCAAGTCATCTGACTGATCAGAGCTGCAGAATCTGCCTGTTTACTCCGACAGTCATCACGCAAAAATTTATTAATTCGGGGAAATTTTTTGAAAAATTGGAATTTCTTTCTACAAATAGTTTGCAAAAAGAAATTCTGTTTTAAGTCGGAGAAGTTTTTGAAAAATTTTTTCCGTCGAGAGAAATTTCCCAACCTCATGAGTAGATCCTGCACCTCTGTGGCTGATTATGAATATGATGACTAATTTCAACAGAAGTACCGTTTATCGTGTGCTAAGAACGAATTATTGTCCAACTGCTGTATTTTCTGATCGTTTCATTCAACAATTCTTTATTTTAACTGTGACGCACATTGCCCTCTACTTTAAAGTAAAGTAAGTTGGTTTGACAGAGCATAAAAAGGATTTTTTATAAGCTGTAGTTTTCACATTATTCTGACTCTTCGACATGCATAACAGTGAACCAAAAGGCCATGAAAAATCATAGTAGGAAATATAAAAGAATTTGTTCGTACAGTGGTCATTGTTCCTTATTTAAATGACACACTGAGAATTTTTTCAACATACTTCGAAAACAGTAAACATTTCTACATATTTAGAGTTTTTACTTCTAAGAAATGCTTTTTTTATAAAGATGGTACAATCTGAAACACGACTAAATTGATTTTCTCATGAAACATGAAAAAAATATCACTATATTTTAAAATTTTATTTTCTCAGCAAAGAAAATATTTTGTTCAAATTTAACGGCAATATTCTTGGTGTAGTCAGGTGAATTGAGTATACTTCATAGGGTTTTGTACAAGTTTGAGAAAAAGTTCCAGTAGTCATTAGAAAAATCGACGTTTTTTTGCTATATTAAGCTGTAGGATATGCTTCTAATATTGCTCTGATCGGTTCTTGAACAAATAAAACCTAACACGTTCAAGGAAAGTCTCATACTTCATCCATCCGATTTCTTTCAAAATAAAAACCAAACAACCATTCAAATTTTACACATTTCATCATTTAACTGGTAACTGATAACTGAAATAGTGTGCATCAGTTAAAAAGAGTTAACAATATTTTACTATTAGTCTGACTTAAGACACCCACGTATCTTCGATTACATGTTTGATTAATGATTTAAGTAAATGGATTGATTGACAGAACTTGATTAACCAATGGATAAAAATTATTTTTGCAACTGAATTATTCATTCTTACTTTATATTTATTTATATTGTTTTTAACTTATTACCTATTCGACGATGAATATTTAAAAGTTCATAAATAAATAGAAAGGAAGAATGAAGTAATTCAGCTGCAAAAAAATAATTTATCTATTAGTAAAAAAATAATTTTAAATTAAACACCGTATACCTGTGGCTAGAACAAGCGATATGACTAATTGTCGAAATATTTTGAATTGATTAGTGTCCATCTGTGAGAATATATTATATCGTTTATCTCTCAAAAGTTTAAATGCAGCACTTGAATGATGATTTTCTAAATAAAAATAAAAACAAAATAATACAATATTTTTAATTTAATTTAATTTACACTATTAATTTGTTTTATACCTAACACATTGTGATCATTGTATATTAATGCTAAATCACTTTTAACTTTAATTAAATAAGCATTATTTAAACCCGGATCTAGAATGAAATATATTAATTTATTATTTTGTACAATTGATAATTGTTACTTACGTTCATAATCATGGATAGCTGCTGAAAATAGAAGAGCACAAATTTCTAATGGTGAAAATATATTCATTAAATTTGCTTTTGTTATTAATAAATGTGTGGTAGTTAATACATCGGCACCATGTGTAGCATTATGATAAACAGGTTGAAATCGATTATAACCATCGGATACTGCACGACTAAAGTTTTTCAATATATCAAGATCAATATGATATCGATTAATAATATCGTGTGCTTGAAATATTAATGGTATTGTAAATAAAAATGGTTGGGTATAATCAAATATACAATAATCCCATTTTGTTAATTTATCAATATCAATTGGAAATTTAAAATTAGGGAATATATCTTTATTTTTTAAACGTGTTTGACGTTGAAGAGCATTTAAAAATTTTGATGCTTGAATAACAGTACGTATTGAATCGAATTTTTTTGTTGATGATGATGATGGTGATGAACGTTGTTTAGAAGAAAATGTTGATTCAAGCCATTTACTAATAGAAGGATTATCAACATTAACAGTTATTTCTGATTGACTACTATCATCCGATAATATTTCAACAAGAGAACAGAGAATACCTTAAAAAGTGAGAAAAAAAATGATATTTTCTTTTATGTTCTGTATTTGACACTTTTAAAATAGAAAACAGTCTCATAATATTATATTTTTATTAAAAAATACTTACCATCCAAACTATTACCAATGTTTGATAATGTTTTTGCATTTACAGTTAAACCTAAGAAGAAGAAGAAAATTATGTCAGACGAACATATATTCTGTATTTCAATATTTCTTTACTTATTAGAGAGTAAAACATATCACTGCTAAATTTGTATGTGTAAATTATCGTGAAAAAGACCATTGTATAAATAGTCAACATTATTTGTTCTTTTAGTATACACTGACTTTTCAAAACGTTGAATATCGATTTAGTATGGCTATCGGTATTAGAAAGGATTCTTTCGACAATTAAGGGTCCCCCACATCCCGCGCTCATAAATCATGATTTTCGGTCAAAAAAACGATTTTGAGATACCTTGAAGTGTCTACTTTCAGAATCTATATCGCTTTTGGTTACACTTCACGGATTTTGAGCAATTTTTTTTAGGAGTCTCGAACAATCGGGTCGTCAAATAATAACTTTTTCCTGAATACTTATGCAATTAAAATTTTTCCGAACACTTAGATTTGTAGAGCAAACTTTTTTGAACAAAATAAGACCTTGCACAACTCTGTATAACCTTACATCGAAAAGTTACAGGCATTTTTCTATAAGTCCTAAAATTCAGTATTTTATACAGCGTTTTCTCTATATAAGAGTTACACCTGAAGTATTTTCCAAGATTTTTAATAGAGAGTTTATTCTTTTTTGTTTAAAAGAAGAAAAGAAACTACATGGTTTGACCGATGCCGATTTTTGAATTAGGTCTTAGCTTTTTGTCAAACTGAGGATTTTTCGGGTTTTGGAGATTGTTGGTTGACTGTAAAATCAACAAAGACTTAATTGAAAAATCGGCGCCGGTCAGTCCATGTGGTTAGGTATCTAGTTTAAAATAAAACAAATCCGGACTCTCCAGCTTGAAGTATATTAAAAAATCTTGGGAAAAACTTCAGGGTCCTTTTTGGACTTTGATCTCTGGAAAACTCCTAAACCGTAAGACTTAGAGACAAAAAAATTTTTTCATTCCCGTAACTCATTAAACCTATGGAACATTTATGGAAAGTTTCGTCAAGATCGGATGTATGGTGTTTATAATTTCTGAGGGGGGGGGGGGGGGGCCAGGCCGTTATGCTTGTTAATTTGCCTTGGGGTTAAAAAGGGATTTTTG